CTTCCGTCCTCTTTTTTTAGATTTCTCCGCGGAGACTCCGCCGATTTTCATGAAATTTAGGTTTTTCTGGAGCTGAGATTCGCCATTTTCAACCGATTGAATTTCAGGAAAAAATATTCTGAACTGACTTTACTATGCCTTCCCAAAGTTTTTGAAAATTATTTTCGAGCCGAAACCGCTAAAACTTTGAAAATTTTTGGAATGATTTTCAATTGCCTTTCTCGGACTTGGAAAATTTCGGGCTTTTTTGGTAAAATCGTGGAGTAAAAAGTTCCGTACGCTTTCTCTAAACTTTGTTTAAAGCAAGTTAAAAGCAAAAAAAGTGTTGTCTGTATTACATTTAGGGTATGAATGTCGAAAAAATTTTTTTTTCAACAAGAGTGAAAAAGTCCACATTAAGGCTACAAACCATGGCTTGGCGCATTGAGGCTTGGATCCAGGCTCGATTGAGGTTAAACCATGTTCACGATCCGCAATTCGAGCTGTTCTTAACTTTCAAAGCCCCTACAAGTTCGTGCTGCAAGAGGAGGTGGACACGTCGAACTGAGATAGAAATATTAATATTCAAATTGTTAAATAGATTAGTTTTTACAACAGTACTTTGCAAATACATGAGGCAAACCAAGTAAGATTTCACCCAAAAACCCGAAAAAATGAGCGAGTTTTCAAAATCATTCCAAAAATTTCCTAAGTTTTAGCGGTTTCGGCTCGAAAATAATTTTCAAAAACTTTGGAAAGGCATAGAAAGATCAATACAAGATATTTTGTTCTCAAATTCAACCGGTTGAAAATGGCGCATCTCAGCTCCAGAAAAATCTAAATTTCATGAAAATCGACGAAGTCTCCGCGGAGAAATGTAAAAAAAGAGGACGGAAGGTTTTAGTGGCCCACCCTGTATTTTATGAGCAAAATTTTCCTACAATTTTAATTTTTATACACAAAAACGTTTAGATTTAAAAAAATATATATATTTCACTTTTTTAATAGCCCTTGTTATTACCACACCAATCTACAATAACAAGAGAGCCCAAAAAAATTGTAGCTAGCAACAATTTAGAGTGCGACCTACCGTATTTGGCTAATTCTTCGCCCTTTGGAAATCATTGAGCAAGGGATACGACGCGTTTGGATGTGTGGTCATACTTGTGGAGAAATGGCGGGAATTTTGGTTTTTGGGCTGTGAGAGGGGACAAAATACAGAATTTTGTGCAAAAAATAGCTGAAGAAAAGAGTAGCGTATAGCAAAAATTCCGTAAGCGTTTTGCGAATGGACTAGCACTATTTTTTATAGATTTATGAGAGTAAATTTTGTTTGCTTTGAAAAAACACATTCTTTTACAGATTTGTTATCCAACAGTATGTAAAACTATCTTTTGCACACATGTCGGGATTGGACTAAATATCAATTTCTGAAAGTTTTAGCTCGCGCGGGCGCCGTCGAGATATCGAACGATTTTTGCCGCCGAGAGAGCACGCTAAACGTGGAGAGCGGTGAGAAAAACGCTTTTTGGCCATAACTTTGGCAGTTTCGTGCAGAAAAATTCGATTTTTTGTGGAAACATTATCCTTTACGTTAGAAATAGGCATGACACTTTTCGTGCCGAAATTCGGCAAAAAATCCCAAATTTTCGCTGACTTTCGATCTAAAAATCACGGTTGTTTCTGCAAAGCGCGAGCTAGGATTCTCGCATATATCTTAGAAAAAAAATATTCTATTATAAGTTTGTGCCAAGTTTCATCAAAATCTGAGCAGATTTATGTCCCATGATTGAATATTAGAGAAATCGACGACGAAAATTTTCTTGTTTTATACACATAAAGTATGCATATGTATGTTTGAATGCATTTGAATATTTTTTTCCCAGCGACCTCTCCATTCGTCGAATGGGACACGCAGACGGTCTAAAAGTTGGCGAGGAAAGGGCCGTTACTGGTTCCGAACTCGGTTGTTTTGAGTGCATGTCTCAAGTTATTTTTGTTTTCACATTAATTAAATTGGGATTGGATACGGCGAGCACAGAAAACACATAGTATAACATTGCGGCAAATAAAGAGAGGCGGTAATTTTGAATAGGGGATTAAAAATATGGAAATAACAGAATAAATTTATTAGAAAAAAAATTTTTTTTTTGAGGTGGTGAGGTTGACAATTTTTTTTTAAAAAGTTAGCCTGATTGGATCAGCTTACCATGATTTTGGTCAAATCTTATTTTTTAAGATACGAGGCTGTCAAACATCTATATTACATTACATATGGTGAATACCGTGAATATTTGTCGCAACTATTTTTACCTCCTATTTAATCGGCCTCCTTGACGAAAAATAACAGTTTAGTTATTTTAAAAAGCTCAATTTGACATGACAATTAGACAATGTGACGCCTCAACAGCCCTTTTTTTTCAAAATAAAGTATTTTGAAAGTATTTTCTTAAAAAATTTTGAAACCATTTTTGACCATTCAGACTTGATACAGTACCCAAAAAATTGCTTTCTCCCCTCTCAAAGACAAAGACACGATTCCCCTCTTCTGGGTTGTGATTTGTCATCCTCGAACACCGCATCGTTCGTTACTTTTGACTCATTACAAGTTGCCATTTTATATTTTTTTGGTCCTGTAAAAAACAAGATTAGCGCTTATTTTTTGGGCTAAAAGAGAAACCAATGGAAGGTCTCCGTGCCTACAGTAGTCTTGTTTGTCGCATATCGTGCTTGTAATACTTGAGCATGCCATAGACGGAATATTATATCGAATATATTTGTTTGCAGATAAGTTGACGAATCTGAGTGCACTAAATGGGGCAGAAATTTAACAAGGGCTACAAAAAGGATAATTTTTGAATAGCGGGGGAGGGGATGGACGTACTATGATTTTATTTTCACAATATTAACTGGGTAAGTGCTCTAACAGTAAGTGCGTCGGTTAGACTTTGATGTAGGCACCAATAGATTATTTTTTCTAACCGTAAGGTATAAGGTATACGCGCATATACCTTACTGTTAGAAAAATAGGATATATGCGATTTTCGCGTTTACAGAAACGAATGAGATTTTTAGATCAAAAATTACGGAAAATGTAGCTTATTTTTGGCAAATTTTTAACCTTCAATCTTTGTCTATCCTGGTATTTTATACTCATAAATGATAAGCCATTTTTCAACAATTTTTTGTATCATCCCATTTTGCAAGTCTTACTTTCGCTAAAAAAAACGCGCGCTATCCTTCCATGATCTCCTTGGTCCCATCTTACCCCATTTTTTATTTATCTTGCTTCTTACCCTTGGGTATCACTCACCACGTTTTATGCATTTCGAATTCCTCTGGGAACGCTGGTTGTAATTTTGTTTGTAACTGCGTTGGTAAACAACCGAGCTCGTCACGCGTTTTTTCGCGATCCGCCATAGTGCAACTCGCTTTTTACGTGACACAAGCGTCTGGGACTGCCAGACTTTTTTCGCAAAGGTCATTCCCCGACTTCCTGTGGCACGTCAATTCAGCATAGTCGGGGGCTATTTCCAGGCTGAATCAATGTGGCGTTTTGTCGCAAATATAATCTTGGAGAAGATCCTTGGCTATCTTTCCTTGGCTAGCCGGAGCAAAGATTTACTTTTTGCTCATAATGTAATACTATGATATTTTCTTGATCTTTTATGACCTACTTGTCCTCCAAAAGGTTTTCCAAAAATTTTTTTGATGTCTGAATTCTTTTGATAAATCGATAGCGTGTGGACGAAAAGTCTAAACGCTTCAGGAAATGCGCTGGATTGACCTATGTCTCTTCGTTTTGTTTGTTTGACCTTTAGAATATATTAGAATATCCTCAAGTTAAAACTAGAAAATTGGAGCTTTGGTAGCAAAAGAATTCAGCGGCTTTCCACCAGAGTTTATCGAGAAATACATGGCTGTTATAGTGAAGAGCTATCATGCTATCATATATGGTGTCCTTGGACAAGTAGCAATTGTGGTACTATTGGCTGTCCTGTAGTTCTCTTGGCTATTGTCACATATCGTCCTCTACAGGGACCCATATTTAACTTCACCATGCTATTCTATAAGACTCTGTAATGCCAAAACCTTCACTACGCCTCACAAATCGTATACCTGACTCTGGCTTTGACCTGCTCTCCATTCCTTTGCCAAAACGGAAAGAAATATAAAACACGTCGCGCTACGGCGGAGTACGGTACTTGCACCTCCGCTTGTTGGATGTTTGTTTTGCCATTCGGCACACGAATGCCTCAAAGACCGTGACTGTCTAGCGGGCACTAAAAAAAAAATAACAAAACTGCACTTGGAGCAGGAAGTGCACAGTTATTCGTTCTGCAATAATATACGCGGCCCCGCCATTCGCCGCTATTTACGGTGGAGCGGAAGCGGGCCGAAAGGGCGGCGGAAAAAAGAAAGTGGAAGGGAATGTGGTCCGCACCTTGTTTTGTCATCTGTATTAAGTACTTGTCGCTTTTGCAGACGTGGGAAGAGGAGCTTCCACTTTTGTCTTGCCGGAAAGCCACCCTGGCCTTGGGCCTATTAGCGAAGGCCAATGGGGAATTTTTAAGTGTTATTTTTGGGTGCTTTTTCGCAGAATGTCAACGTTGGGGGTGCGATAATTATCTTCGAAAAAACCTCATTTAAACCTACAGTCATCTCGAATTGCAGTGGACCAAAAGATTATTTAAATTCGTTGTGGGAGGGAGATTTATTTTGGGAACACATTGACTCTTGATACCGTTGAAATCGTTCGTTATAAACAGGTCTTTTTGTTAAAATTTACTCTTGTATTTCTCCTACATGCTACTTTAAAATCACAATATTTTTGATAATAATACGTGCTCACATCATCGTATAATCGATATAACCGCGTATTGTAACCCTTAGACCTAATATCTTTGCTTTTCAGACAGCACAACCTTCCAAACCAAATTCACATACAAGCCTATAAAAGCACACAACGGTACAAACGTATTTCACAGCTTAATCATCCAACTACAACCTACTACTCAATGATGAACATGTTTAATCCCGTCAGCGCCTTGAGCACCCTCAACGTCAACCAATTGGCGAGCAAGATTAGCGGTGAGTTTTGAATATTTTTGCCCGTAAAAAAGAGATAAAGACTACTTGCAAAATCCCAGCATTTTTCGTATGAATAATTTGGCTATTCTTTGATATTATCGGGCGAAAGAAATGTATTTTTTTGTGACCGCGTTATACCTGCTCTACGGTAGGAATAGTCATGAAGCTTTTCATGGCAGAATTCCCAAAGAAGTGTAATATTTTTGCCAACTTTCGATCTAAAAATCCCAGCCGTTTCTGCAAAGCGCGGACTAAAAATGTTTCACAGACGTGTTAGAATACATCCAGATCTGTGTCAAGTCTGATCACAACCTGGTCGTCGCGCTTGAAGCATTTCTTTAGCTTGATACTAGTAGCAAGTCGGGGATTTTTCCTTGATCTATTCTTTGACCATAACGCCAACTTTAGCACCCCTGTCTCAGCAAAGATGCGATAGTCATGGCGATACAAAAAGGCCTTGAACTTTTTCTGTCTTTCCAGCCAGCCACTAAATATTTTTTTTCAGGCGTCAACAAACGCGTCTATTACTGTCAGCGTTGTCTGAATCACGGCCGTCTGGAGCCGCGGAAGAACCACAAATGCGAATGCGCGTTCATCAATTGCCAATGCAACAAGTGCATTCTCGTGGAGAAGCGGCGAGTGTTGAACACTCAGCTCCACGAGCTGGAAGACACTGCGGCTTCGGCGGCGCTGGTGAAGCTGGAAGAGATCCCGGAGCAGGAGGACGATCTGCAGGCGGATGAGATGCGTTTGAAAGGAGGTGAGTGTGAGAAAGCGAGGGTTCTGGGGATAAAAATGTTGATAATCATGAGGTAAGCATGATGAAAGGGCGGTATGGTATGAGCGTTTTGTTTGGACGGACAGTCGTATGGAAACAATTTTAATCATCCTTCATATGGTTGGTTGATTTGACTGTGTCCTCATCACGTTTATAAACTAACTGATGGTAACCTCAAATGGAAAGTTTATGCGGTAAGCGTTGGAAAATTTCTGGTAAAATACGTCGTCTGTAGATAGTTTATAAAAAAAAGCAAAAATTGGGTTATGACTGATGCATGCGTTGAGAAATTTTTAAAAATCCAGTGAGAAACGTATATAAAAATCTTGAAAGCGGTGTGCAACTTTGTAAGTTAGTTGTGGGCCTAAACGGAACGTCAACGCAAGGCACCTTGAAGGCACGATGGGCCAACATCTAACGAAATTTAAATTGATGACTAGCTATGACGTCATTTTGAAGGAACTTGAACTAGTTGAAGAATTGCTGAGCTACTGCAGTGACAATTCGTCAAATATTTGATGTGTAAGTTTTGGAATTTATGGCAGGATCCATACCGCAAAAAGACGAATCATTATGAGTTTTATCCGTTTTACAGCGGTTTACTTTTACACGAGATTTTCTTTGTGCTTTTTAAATTTTAAAAACGTTTTATTTTTAGCTCCAAACAGACAAAATAATACGTCTATTATGTCAGTCATGGTACTTATGCCTTCGTCGAACTTCTTGTTTCATTGTTGCAACTTGCAGGTGGGTTGAAATTTTTACGGCTTCTTCGGTGTTTTAAGTTGATTCATGTCGTTTCTGATGTGGCCTTTCTTTTTTCCATTTCATGGCTGCTAACGTAGAGCTAGCCCTTCTCTATGAGCTAGATCCTAAAATAGGCCAATTTCTGCTAGAAAAAAATTCAGAGGTTTTTACTGCGAATAGATTGCGCAATACGCCGAGAGCGGTCATCAAGAAAAGACGTTTTTAGGCTATAAATTTGCTAGTTTCACACAAAAAAATTATTTTTTTTATGGGCAAATTACCCTCTACTGTAGAAATAGGCGTGAAACTCTACATGAGTAAACTCGAAAAAATTGTTACATTATCTCCAATTTTCGACCAAGAATGTCAGTTGTTTATGCTAGCGCGAGCTAGCTCTCTCATATTTAGGAAACTTGAATCTAGATCAAGTTTCATTCGATTTTCACTAGACCGCATCAAATTCTGAAAGTCGTATTTCGCGCAACTCTACCTGCCGAAAATAATTTCCGACAGTTTAATTAACACTGCTTTCTACTGGCATACGGCCAGCTCTATTTCATCAGCCCAACCTTTGCGATCCCTCGGGTCTTGCAATGCAACATAAATCATGTTTCATGGCAATTTCATTCAATCGCAAGTTGTTTTTCCGAGTGATCCGTCCGACCGCGTGGCGCCGAATTCATGGGTCCGCCGGAAAAACACGAAAAGCGGACAACAAAAAGTGCATTCGAATTCCTTTTTTGTGAATTCGTTTTGCAGAGAAAATAACAAAAAGCCCCTCGGAATGCACTTTGGCTAATCTGTCTGAACCCGGGAATGTGCCCCTTGCCTCGTACTGTCTACATGCGGGGAAAATCGATGGAAAATTAATTATGGCGTCGGGAAGAATGGGGGAGAAGAAAAGGTTGACGGAACTGAATTCAATAATCGTTAAGAACTTTGCTGGCAACCAAATAAATAGACTGATGAAAACATGCGTTTCTTGTGCTGGAAATACACTGCTCCACAAAAGGATAGACGCACCCTATTTTTAGCGATTATCTTCCTTATACTGAATGATAGCCAAAAATGTTCAACAGATGAAATGTGGCAAATTAAACGAGAAATCATGTCCCTTAGCAACTTTGGAACAACATTCTGTCTTGACTGAGGTGTGACAGCTTTTCCATTTTTTTGGGGTACACAAAATGATAGACGCACTTGAGAAATTTATGTTGTTATTTGTTTATTTAAAAGTGAAATTTTTCATGCCTCAATTGTCAAAAAAGTTTTTACGGTTTTCGTAAATTTTAGTCAAAAAAATTTTGATGTTTTCTGCAAGTCGAACTTTATACGTACTTTTCATAATAGTCTGATCTATAATAAATTTTGCCAAGTTTCATCGGAGAACTCCCTCCATTCTGAGGCTTTTTTTCCTATTTCTCCACCTTCAACCTCCATAACATCTGGCCTGCAAATATAATCCAATTCTTCGTCTCCGTACAAGAGAATTGTCCAAAGTACGACGCTTAGATTTGCCTAAATTTAGCACAAAAATCAAGACACAACACACAAACATCTAGGCCACATGACGCGCCCACACTTGTGGGCAACCACTTTGCGGTGAGCTCGAAGAACCTTGGAGATTTTGCCGGTATGTTTGGAAATCAGCCAACGTTTGCTTACAATAGTAAATATTTGGCAGTGAGATGTTACAAATTAAGTTTCCGGGTGCATAAGTGACTTGAACAGTGACAATAAAGTTAACCAGGCATTTTCACCATTTTTGGAAACAAACTCCCATAAATTTGAGAGCGGTGGATGAATTCAATAAGTTCCTGTATTTGTCAGTACTAGGGAGTTGTCAAGGCAGAATTTCTATCATACTTCGTAGATCATGGGAGGAAAATCGTGGATAATGTCGACTGAAAAGTGGTTTCCCGGAAGTGTCGCGACGCCGGCTATTGAGCTCGGAAAGTGCTACCACGCGCTTTGCAGTGATCTGTCGGGCCTAGTTTGCAAACCTGACTAAAAGTTTTAGCTAGCGGTTTGCAGGGACAGCTGAGGCCACCATTGACGACGAAAGAATAAGCGAGGTCAGAGAGGTCAGTGAGACGGACGTTGTTTTGCCATTCCTCGCCAATTTTTTTTTGCACAAAAAATGCCCTTTCCAATACAAATATTATTAAAAATCTTTGGTTGTTTTTGCAAAGCGCACGACATGAATCTTGGGTACGTCTTTTCGGAAAATTAAGGCTAAATTACAGTAATTTGATCCAAATATGGCAAATATTATACCGAACGAAAGCTTGAGTTCTCAGCTACAAAACAGTTTAATATCTCTAGATTTTATTGTCGTTTTCCTTTTTTATAGACTTTGGAAGCTGCCCCTCTCGAAAACGACATTACTTCTTGGGCAACCTGTTATTATGTTATAAATGCACGCAAAGTTTTATCAAAGCCTGAGCGTTGGACTTCGATCAGCATGTCTTCTAACCGTTTCCGTTCCTTAACTTACCTATGTGTCCTTCTATATAATTAGCGACCATTTTATGTTCTCAAACAGGCGAACAACGGGACCATTTCTTTTTCCACCGGCTATTTGCCACCGTCGCAAACTTTAGCCGGCTTCAAAGCCCGTGTGATCGCCGTTCAAGAAAATAAAGAGTCGCCGTTTATAATAATCAGTAGCAGTAGTCACAGTAGAAATATTTAGGTGCATAATACAAAAATAAATGGGTAATGCAGTAATAAATTTAGTGTAAAATACGTATTAACATTATATCTATTTCAATTTAAAAATAAAAATAGTTATGCAATACAAACAGTGATCTCTAGATTTCCCCTCCGGCAAAAGCCAAAATTCAAAATGAAGAAGCCCTTGTAGCGCTTTGCAAAGCCTTTGGACTGTCAATATAAGCCGATTCGTATGACTATCCGAAATTGCGTGGGGCTTTATTAATAACCTAAAAGGTTATGTGCCTAATTGGCGGGGTGCCGGAGATTACATCTTCAAGGTGTTAATAAGCAAATGCAGGCGGATCGGATTGTCAGCTTTTAATTGAAGTTGTGTAGACTTGTAATCGCTGTTATTGTTTATGTTTGTAACTGACAACAGACGTCTTTTAGGGGATGCACTTAGTTTTTCAAGAAAATTAAATTTGCATTGTTCTCAACTAGCCACATATTATTCTCTGAAAGCTTTAGCCTCCGCAGTTTTTTTTGGCGGACTTTAAGCGGATTTCGTTTTGAGAGAGAAAGCAAAATGAGGAGAGATGACCGGACAACAAACGGTTTTTTCCCAAAACTGTTCTGCATGGAAAATTTTAATTTTTCTGCCGAAACGTTGCACAGCGCGTAAATAATTGAATTTGAAGAATCCCTGAATCCAAAAAACAGATACAAAGGCGTTCGAGTGTGAGAATTGTAACGACTCCATCTACTTTGATGATCAATACATGCCATCATCAAAACAATGAATTCAACATCAATCGAGGCACTAATCATGGCAATCGCTGTTCAATCAAATATAATTTTTTATTTGCAAATAAACGCGACTAACTCTACAAGCAGAGGAAATCACAACGACTCTCACTTTGATCACAACTATGGAAAGGGAAACGAATCAAAAAATGGTCATGTATAAGGCTCTGAAAACGGACACTTTGATTTGTCGCGGCACAATTCATTTTCCCGGTGACAATGCGGTTTTGGATGCGACAGAACGCTCATTATTTTCCCGACAACTGATACTACATACAGACGACCACTCTACAATTTTTTTATCCTGTGTCGAAATCGATTAAAAATTCTGACGTTTCTGCGGGAAATTCTTTGATTTTTTGTGTGCAAGGCAAACGTTATGATAAGCAAGCACAAACGCCGTCTAAACTACGTTTTCATAGATCCGCACAAAACAGGTTCCAATGGTAAATTTTGGTGACTTTTTCAAGTATTCTAATTCCGAAGCTTATAAGATTTTACCATTATAAAAAGGTCTTCGTAGAATTTAAAATAAACCTTGGGAAATACAAGTCTCACCCCTTTATTGCCAGGAATGATCAAGCTTATATCGGAAACAGTTCATTCCCTGCAGCGAAACATTTGTTTTCTCAGCCGCTCGCATCTCCATCAAATCCGATAACGGTTTAACGGCGTGCAGCCTTTAAAACAGAACGTATGTCATGATTAAATGCAAAATGTCTAACTTCACGCTTCCCATGGTATTTCTGTGGCTTTCAATTCGTCAAGCCTTCGCATGCGAGGACCAAGGGAGTCATTGCGAACGTTTCGCTTCGGAATGTAATTCCCT